CTCCGGCCCCGCTCGGGGGGGGGAGCCACAGGGCGAGGGTGCTGGGGCCCGGCCGGGGCAGTACCTGCACAGTACCTTTGAGCGCGGGCGGCGTGAAGACGCTCTGCTTCCTCTGCTTGGGAGAGGCACTCTGGGACTGGGGAGGCACAAAACACAGCGAGAGGCAATGAGAGACAGGTGCTGGGAGAGCTTTCTGGTCGCGGCAGCTTGGGGTCTTGTCCCACAGCTGCTTTCAGAGGGTGCAGAAACCATGTATGAAAATGACTTTCTATGAAAAATGAAAATGAATTTCTATGAAAATGATAATATATAAATCCGATGTTAGCTCCCAGGCTTTCACTAATGCAGGGAAAACTAACATTAGGCAGACAAAATACGTGCTTAATGGACAGCCTTTATGGCTGCCAGGCAAAACAGGCCCAATACTACTGAAAATTTCACTCTAGAAGAATGTTGTTAAGCATAAAGTTAAGACAGTCCATGATTTTAACAGTCTATATAACTGATCCTCATAAGGCAAATAAATGTTTACTTATATTGAAATATTTTCACGAACACATTATAATTAAATATAAGTAGTACTGAAATTATTAATATATAATTTTTGCTCAGTGATGTCCAGTGACAGAACAAGGGGTGACAGGTACAAGCTGGAGCATAGGAGGTTCCACAAACACATTAGGAAAAACTTTTTCACTGTGAGGGTGACAGAGCCCTGTCACAGGCTGCCCAGGGAGGTCATGGAGTCTCCTTCTCTGGAGACATTCAAACCCCCCCTGGAAGTGTTCCTGTGTGTCTCTAGGTGATTCTGCTTTGCAGGAGGATTGGTCTAGATGATCTTTTGAGGTCCCTTCCAACTCTGAACATTCTGTGATTCTGTGATAATTTTTTACATAAATAAATGGAAGATCCTCCCCCCTGCACCTTTTCAATATGTTCTACTAATCCTAAGTTAATAATTTCAACAACCAATCACTCAGTCTTTAACTGGGCCTGATTTAAGTGGTATATTTAGACACAAACTTTTTATGGCCCCAAAATCACATCTACCACAAAAGATTATTCCAAAATAATGGAAGAAAAATTACACATAAAGTAATAGTGGTATAATTATACCAATGTACAGTTAGCAAAAAGTAAATGGAATATATTCCAGTGCTAAAGCAGAGCAACTTTTGCAGAATTTGTGTCCATATTATACCAACGTGAAATACGAATATATACAAAGGGTAATAAAACTACATAAGGTCACAGACATAGCTACATTTTGAAGACATAGGCACCATATCAGATTCCTAAAAAGAAGGTTAAAAAAGCCCCATGTGTAGACAAGCTTTACTTTTTCTCTTCTAATCACTTTCTAGTTGTATATGGTAATAATGATGTGGTCTTTCCCAAATATTTGCTAAAAATGCCTTTTTTCCCTGAATAGTTTGACTGGTATATAGTTTGTGAATTTTAATCAGATCTGTTTCTTCAAGGAACATTTGAGATGGCTTTTAGGAAAACCACTTTCACACAAGTATGGCCAATCCTATTACCCTACCTTATCCCAATTGATGGAATGATCACATTTATAAATAAAATACTGTCTTATTTTGAAAGAGAAAGCTATTTATAAACACTGTGGGATAGGTTGTTGATCCCCACCCCACTAAATCTTTGCAAGTCTGTATCTGAGTCCAAGTTTGAACCAATCAATATCTTCTACTGCTATTTAAAGCATTGCCTGCTCCTCAGGTGAAGGAGAAAGAGATCAGAGGGTTGCAGGAGCTGTGCTAGGGGAGGTTAGAAAATGAGATCAGAGGAGATGACTTTTAACTCTTCTGCACACAACATCAATGTGCTGCCTCCTAGGAAAGGACAACAAGGGGAGAGAGGAGCTTGCAATGCTTGTGTAGACCAGCAGTGATCTGCAGACCCAAAACACTGTTGGGTGAGGTGACCTGGCAGGGTCACCTTAAGCCAGGTCTGCTAGGATTTGCCAGGACATGGTAGAAAGGCAGAGGGGAAATTTGCCTTTCTTAGTTCCCTGCTACAAGGAGAAGGGAAAGCTGGAAGAGCTGAGACACAACACAGCTTCACACAGCCCCGGTTTGAAATTGATGGGCCTTGAAAGGCTGCACTGGTGAAGGTGGTGTGACAATGTACCTGAAAATGTTAACTAGGCTAAATGAGGGAGTTTCAAAGAGGTTTTAGTAATGGATCTATTTTAATGTTAAATATGGGGGGTTTTAAGAAATAATATTTCACTTACCTCTGCCTGTGAGATGTTTGTTCTCTTCTCATCTTTTTCTACAGGAAGGAAAGATACGGAAAGAGAACAGTTAGCACAAAAGTGTTTCTCCATGCTAACCCTTGCAGCTCTGCCCTGAACGCTAGGGCACTATTGTGTGTAAGAAATTACCCTTCTGACTTACAGTTTTTCTATATCTTTTGTGTAGCTCAGGAAACTGGAGACCCTGATTAGCAGTTAGACATAAGCACTGCATCTAAAGCACTTAACTCCCTTTTTTTTTGTCTGCAAATCCACAGCACATGATGGAGTGTCTTTAGCAGCAGGCCCCTGACTGGGCTCTCAGCAAGGCTCTTTGGGCTGCATGGCTGCTCTGCTGAGGGACCACGCCTTCTGCTGTGGTCGGAAAAGCCTTGGTTGCCAAACGGTGGGCAGCAAACGCACTCAAATAATAATTGAGAACCTCACCTTGAATAAGAACATCTAACAATAATGTGTAAAAACAGCAAACAAAAGCTTAACAAAGTCTAGTCATCTTAAAAGTTTTGTGACATGACTGGTTTGATTTTTCTCCTGAAACTGCCTACTTTTGTTGCCTTAATTTGCTTTGGACTATAGGCATGACAGAAATGGACAATATGTAAGATATCTAATGAAAATAAGGATCTCTGGGAACCTGTTTGAACAACTAAGTAAAATGATGTGAAGCAGAGGAGGGTCAAAGATTGTCCTAATTGCTTTACTTAACCTGTTTGTGCATGAGATGAAGTCACTTTTCTACTGTTGTCTTGATGTGGTTAAGAGCCAGAAAGTTTCTGTCTTGTGATGATCTCACAAATATTTGACAAAGATCCTGTAGGACTTTTGATGCACAGCACTTGGGAGCTTTAAAATAAAATGCCATTGAAAACAGACATCAATCTGTCACTGTACCAACGCCCCTTCTAAAATTTTCCACTTGCAGATATCACCGGGCGATTTCTACCGAGTCGTGGCAGATCTGTAATTGTAGGTCTGAAGGAAGAACTAGGTCTGGGCAATATCACTTCATCTAACTTATTCTCTAGATATTGCCTGCTTGTGGTGTGCTGTCTAAGGGGAAGAGCCAGCCCAGGCAGATGGATTGCATTTTCTATGGTAATATTTACTGTTGTATTTGTGTGTCTTGTAAATGTTAACTGACTTACCAGATTTTTCAATGTATGTATTTCCCATTAGGTTTCCATGAAAGATGTTCAAATGACTTATATTTGAGGTTAAAAAGCATAGTTTAAAACAATGCTGATTGCTAAAGAATGGTCCCACAGATACCAAATTAAATAGGACAATCAGGAGGCCAGTTCCTGCCATTGACATTTGTATGAACTTTGGTAAGGTGACTAATCTCTTTCCTGACTTCCCTACTTGTAAATAAGTATAGCAGTGTCTATTCACCTTTGTTAAACACTTTAGGGTATGAAATTAGACTAGCTAAGTGGATCATTACCTATGTGCTTATAATCTTTCTTATTAGTTGTATACCAAACAGATGCAGACTTCAATGGTTCAACATCAGATATATTTTTTTAGCTCAGGATCCTGGATTTAGTTTGGAGGCTGAAATTTGAACAAATCAGGAACTTTCAGCAGAGAACAATGAAAAGTAAGTCATGTCCCATTCCTTCCTGAAACTCTAAACTTGCCCAGATTAAAAATATATTCTGTAAACCCAAGCTGAGGCTTGCATAAGGAACAAAAACTGTAATCAGCAGCTTCATCAGGTTTCAGGTCTTGTTCCTAAGGATGTGCACAACTCCAGCCCTTTGGGTTTGCACACTTAGTGTTCTTAATGGAGTGACATCAAGCCTGCCAGAACTGGAAAGTTTCCAGCTTTTCCTTTCACCCTGCAGCAAGTACATGACAGGCAAATTTGGGAAAAAGAACTGATCTGTATGGAGTTAGAGAAATCATTCATATTCACAGGGCAAATAGTGCCAATGAACAACATTACACAATGTGGAAGTTTAAGTGACTTGCAAATCCACACAAACTATTTTTCAAGTCCAGTGTACAGAGATCAGAAATTAATCTAGTGGAGCAAAAGAGACAAACTTAAGGACCTGAAGTGTTTCAAGTGATTTGTGAGACAAAGGGAAAGGTAAAACTGGTTGGAGATACAGTTTGGCCAATGGTACATTCTGGCATGCATTTATTTCTGAGGACTGAGAGACCACTGCATGCTTATTTTTGACAAGCACTTTGATGGATAAGACTCAAGGGAGAGTATAAATTTTTAAGGAGAGGTGACAAGGAAGGGGAATGAAGGAAACTGATCCCCGAGTGCCATAGACTGAGGCAAGCAGTAGAAAAAAAGTAAAAATAAATAAATAAATACCCCACAACTCTTTTTGTAGAGAAGGAGGAAAAGATGAAAGCCAAGGGGGACACAGATGGAAGATAAAAGTGCTTGTGAGTAGCTGAGGTAGTAATGAGACACAGGGACAGTGGGGTTGTAGCAGAAGTGAAAGGGGGAATTTAGTGATGACAGAGAGCAGAGCTGAGTGCAGGGTAGGTTGGAGCTCTTAATATTTGTGTGAACATTCTTCCTTTGACAGATAGTGGTTTTCCAGTGTAACTTACAATGCCTTGAAAGTAACCCAATTAAGTTATTGAAAGCATGTTCTTATAACAGTCTTACTAAGAAAGCATCCTTGCAAAAGTCAATATGTGTATGAATCGGTGCTCTCCTTACAACAAGTCAGCTCTGGCATCAAGAGAGTACATAGAGAAAATCTCTGGGACCACAAAATTTATGATGAGAATGGAAGCTATAAGGCAAGAAGGAACATTACCAATTAGCTGCTGCAAATAGCAGACATATCCAACTATGGAAGTTTAACAAGCCACACATTTCTCACCCTTAAATCCCTCTCAAATCCATTGACAATTATAGGCTGAGTTTCTTTATGGAAAAAAATCCCTCTCAAATCCATTGACAGTTATAGGCTGAATTTCTTTATGGAACTCTTTGACCACAAACTCCTCTTGAGAGGGGTCAAGAAATAACCGGAAACTGTATCATAAATATCAGGCTGTAATGTCACAGGAGAGAATGAGATCGTCGGTTTCTCAACATGCTTTAGTTTCCATCGACTACTGTGCAGTCAGGATTCTGCTCATATTATATCAAATGAGAAATTTCCTTATCATATTTATTACTAGGCAAATACATCACAGAGGGTGTAAATTTAAGCAATCAGCTATATTTCTCTTATATGAAACAAAAAACCAACGTCTCAATAGATAACTTCTCTCTACAGGCTCACTCTCTTTTGGGGCCAGAAGGGAAGGAGACTTTTTAATGATGCTCCATTTTCTTCCCTTGGTCACATTGCTCACAGAACACAATATAGCTGTATTATATTCCAAATCTGAACATGGGACATTTTCCCAGTTTAACTTATTCTTGGCTGCTCTAATTAGCTAACAGGAATCTAATTACTCAAGTAATTTATTGACTATTTTTATGTTTTGTTTTAAAGTGGTATGATAGAAATCTTACAAAGAGTTGAGAAAAGATTTGTACATACGTAAGATACCAGAATGTTGAGGTACATAAAAATAAGATTGGAGGAGGTTTTTTTAGAGCTTTTAAGTTTTTTACACCTGCACTGAAGAAAAAGCAGCTGAGGACTTTCCCTTATGCTAGGTGAATAATGTCTGAGGCTAGTGTGACCCATACCTCACATAGACTGGACTAGCACCTGACAAATAAACTGAGTTTCAAGCTTTATTTGGTGTCCTCAGGAAGAGAATTGGTGTGTGCTCACCAATGAAAGTTTCAATCTAAAAGATATTTCCATCAGTCCAGATGGTAAGCAAACTTTCTGAAATAAAGGTTTTTCAAGAAGAGTCACTTCCAAAAAGCCATGTAATTGCATAGAGCCCATTTCAGCATCAGAGCTCTAAGCTTTAGTCTTTACCCAGAGCAAAATCTCACCTACTCGCAGGGAAAACTGAGATTTAGCCCAGCTATATTGCTGAAAATGGAGGAAGGAACACCAAGGGATTTGTCTCCCAAATGCTCTTGTTAGCAGAGCTCTTTCGAATGGCTTTTAGCATACCCATGTAGCCAAGCTGATATAATGATCTGAGCTCCCCTAAAGGTGTTGTTATTTAAGGTCAGAAAAGAACTGAGTGGAAGGAGACTGGTTCTTGATGTTGCTGATCACTTTTTCCATGAATCTTCGCTGTTGTGCAAATGACAGGATGGCGCTGGGGAAAGCCTTATGGTTGTTTTAGAGAAAGATCAAAATTCATCTGCCTCTCTTCTCCCACTGGATAATGTTAATGCACTTGGAGCAGCAACGCAGGGCAGGAGGTGACCTGTTTTAAAAGACTTGGCCTCTGATATCACCCATGGGCTCTGGAGTGGAGTCATCCAGCAAAGGCTTCTCTCATCGAGCTAAGTGCCCTGCTTTCTTTCCCCTTGGCAAAAGCAAATAAAAGCCTTTTCTGTAGGGTTTCAGTCAGGCACTGGAGGAACAGAACAGGTCAGAGAGGCTGGCTTTTACACAGAAGAAACTCAGTAAGAGGCTGTTATAATTGCTGGAGAAATCTTCTTGCAGAGAGTTGGGAATTTTCCTTGGGAAAACAAAGATGATAAGTTTCAGTAAAAATCACAGGGGGGGCTTTGGATTTGGTTAGATTTTGTCATTTTGCCTTTAAAAATAACATACACAATACTCTTTAATTGCTCAAGCAGTAGAAATAGTCCATAGGTTGCATGTCTATAAGAGGTTTTAGTTTTAGAATGTTTTAAACAAGAATGGTTTAAATCTGGAAGAAATGAGCCTGAAGAGAGACTGCAGGGACACAATGTCACTGTTAGTCTGGAGCCTTTTTATAATCCTGCCTCCAACCCTGTATAAACAGTGCCACTAGAGAAAGTAGAGGGGTTGAACAGAAGAATGGATCCAGTCTTTCATGTGCAAACTTCAGTGCAGAGACAAATCAGATCATAGTGCTGCTGTGAGATATTTCAGCCAGTTTCATTTAGTTCCCTTAATTTTGATGAAATTTCTCACAATGGCTGTGAGCAAAGATTATTCTCTCAAAAAAAGAAAAAGGGAAAA